GATGCTCATACTTACCTCTGAGTTTGTGCCACCATCATATGCACTGGTAGCCAATCGGGCCAAGTTGCATAAATGTTGAAACAGATTTAGACCAGTCATACTAATAGTTTCAGGTTTTAGTTGTGGCATCTAAATAAAATAAATTTGTCTTAGTATATATGAAAAGAAAATTGACAAAGATGGCAATGATTTCAGGGCATTTATTCTGTCAAAACACAAGAATTTCACGGCCATCTCAAAGCAGAACTTAAAGTTATAAGGTCAGTCAAGTTTTGGTTTAGCAAAAGATATGAATCTCTTTGTACTGCACATAGAAAACCACCATTAATGACAATCCTCCCCAATAGATTCCCTTGAATAGGTTCTGGGAATGGTTTAGAATGGACATTTTCATCACTGTAATATTAGTAGTTATATTGTTGCCAGCAACAAGATAATTTGGTATTGTACCTGACTCTTCAAGGCTTAAAACAATTAGGTCACAAGATGAACCTCCCTGGTCTGCATCCTGTGGACCTGACTGATCCCGGATGAGAGATTTTGCAGGATCAGGGGAAGTCATTTCTGGACCCCTGCCACTAGCCCCCCAGTCCGCTCGCTGGCCTCCCAGCCAGCTCCCCACCTCCTGCTGCCCTGCCAACCCCACTGGGCAGCCATTTCTGCCATGACTCCACCATGCAGCTGTGTGTGCCACGCTGGAGCTCCAGGGCAGCCCATGCGCCACGTTGGGGCTCCAGGTGCTGCAGGGCATGTGTTGTGCTGGGGCTCCAGGTCCCACAAGGCAGCTGCGCACTGGGGTTCAGGACCCACTGGGCAGCGGCGCACTGGGCTCCCTTCGCTATAGAACTACTGTGGCTCCTAGCCCCACCGTGCAGCCTCGCATTGGGTCTCCTAACCCCACTGGGTAGCCCCACCACACACTGGGCAGCCCCACCATCAGCTCACTGCAGGCAGCCCACCGCCCTGCCAGTCCCGCATGGATCCGCGTCGCTAGCCCTCCGCTGGGACTCTCTGGTCCTGCAACATCCGTGCCAGACCATGGATGTTGCCAGACCAGAGAATCCTGGTTAAGAGTGTTTCAACCCGTACTTATAGACAACAGTGGAATTGTACACCAAGATATAAGTAAGATACTTTGTTGAATAAGGAGAGTACATGGAAAAAAGATAATACATGGCCTATTGCAAGTTCAATTTCAGTATAATAACTGCCATATAAAACTAATCAATATATATTGTAAGCTTTGTAGAACAATTTGTTAAAATGCAGGATTTGCTGAAGAGCATTCTGATTTGCATTTCCAGTAGAAGTATGGATAAAGACTTTTTTATATCTAACTGAAGGGGAAATTCTACTTTTCAGCTTTGTATTTGTAAATTTCAAATATAACAGCAAGAGAACATAATTTTCTATTATCAGATTGAACTAACTTTGTTCAGGTTAAACATTCAATTCTGGAATAAAAAATCTTTAGTCATCAATTTGATTATCTGAGAAAACATAATTCCTACTTAAACTGAACAGAGAGGGCGTGAAAAGTCTAATGTAAAAGTAGGTAAAATTATGGGGTTAAGAAAAAGTGAAATGACACTCTCACCCTTCTCTCACATCCCACTTAAGTAAAGAAGGATACACAATTCATACTGTACACCAAGAGAGAATGAAAGAAAGTCACTAGCAACAAAAGTTTGCAATGACTGATTACTATGCAATTATTAATCCTGAACCATGTGACAAATCAGTGTAGTCAAGGTTACTGTAAAGGGAGTGGGTTTGTCAAAAAGAAGGATGTGACACAACAGGTATCTTCCCTCAAAGTCGGTGGAGCAATAATGCTCAATTTGCACCAATTACTTGAGTCCTGAACCTTCTGTTGCATCCATACCTCTACTCCACAGAAGGAAAGAGTAACAGATCCATATACTGACAAACCTCCACTTCCCTCAGCTCGGCCTTGCTCTGTCCCAAAACCCGACTCCATAGAGATTCACAAAGAACCAGTGCAAACTAGAAATTTATGGCAGACAGAGCGAATGGAATAGAACCTTTATAAGAGTCCTTTCCACCTCACAATTCAGAGGAATAGTTCTATTATACATGGGGCCTTCCATTGCTGCAGAAGGAGCAGGATTTCCCCATAGAAATAACTTTAAATACATTAAAATCACTTTGATACAGACAAAAACATGTTCAAACTCAAATGAATTAAGTTAAAATAAAAACTGTTTTCATATACCTTTTCTAAGAAAAGATGCTTGTAGGTTTCCATTCCCATAGCATGCTGATCTTTACTTCGTACTTGATTTAAGAACCAGTGTAAAGCATCATCATAGCACTCAGAATCTTCTACTAAACAATGCCATAAAATGTCCACTTGTTCTAAACTCAATCCTAGAAATAAAATGTTTTAAATGCTCCTTTATAATGTCAGATAAATTGGCATAGTCTATCTGAAACAGGAATACAAGTAGAAAAACCTTTATCAGGATAAGTTTTAAAAAATATGTCTACCAACAGAAGAACGCTATCTCCCTTATGTAGCAATCAATTGACAGGCATCTCTTTCTCTAACATTTTTGTGCAGCATGGAACTAAGAAGTTGGCATGGCTTTTTGTCCTTGGTGATGTGAATATCCATACAGACTCACTCACTCCAAATTTCATTCCTATCAAACTGCAGGCACCTTAAACATGGTTACATATATTCTGGACTTCATTTTTGAGTAAGGAATGAAGACAGTGGTTAAGAATTATATCCTGGTCATGCTTTGATTGTGACTCCCTTCACAATGAGATTAATACACAATTTAGCTCTCAAAGCAGTGGACTTCACTGGTTAGCACTCAAACTAATGTTTCCAGTTAGGCTGCAGATTTTTTCAAGGACGAAAAGTAAGGATTATATTTACAATGGCATTGTAGGACATTATATTAATTTTTTGCCTTTAACTAATGATATAATGGCTCCTAAAAATCCCTCTCTTTGTGTCATCCTCCGAGGTCACCTACATTCATAGACAACCTATAACAAATCAACTGTGAGGAGAAAGTATAGAGCAGTGGTCTCCAACCTTTTTACACCCAAGATCACTTTTTAAATGACAGAACAAGCCAAAATCTACTGCCCCATTCTTCCCCCACACATTTCTTGGGTGTGGGAGGAAATGGGGGACCTGGAACGCCTCACGATTGCTGGTTGAGGCCTCACAATCGACCAGTCGATCGCAATTGATGGGTTGGTGACCACAGTTCTAGAGTGTCATTGGTGGAAAATGATCTTGAAGTATGACTAACAACACAACAATGCTAAAGGTAACAGTATTTATCCATAAGACGTCACTCGGATTTAAAACTTTCTCAATCTAAAGAATTTTCTGTCTATTGTACCGATTTGGAAAAATCAAACAGATTGAAGGAGGATCACTGAAGGAGAAGATCTTTGGTGAAGAAGGATCACTGTTACAGTATAGCTATACCAGCCAGTGGCAATAATGGTAATATCTTCTCAAATTTTGGTTAGTTTTGATCAGATTCTAGAGGTACTTGAAAAGCTGCAGCCTACAAATTGTTAGCTGAGACCACATGGCTATATAAGCATGGTTTGACAAAAATTAGTGGCTAAGTACAGGTTGAACCTCTCTAGTCCAGCACACTCAGGTCCTCACCAGTGCTGAAATAGAGAATTTGCCAAATTGCAGGTGGTCAGTATTGTCTAGCAGCATTACCAGAACTTCCACTGTGTACTGGGCTGTTAGAAGACATTTAGAGGTAAATTAGAGCTTAACAATAGCACAGAAGACTAAGAGGTAGGACTGGTGGCTGTAAACAAACTTTATGGGACCACATGAAATTTGGCCACACCCATGATAAATGGACCACAGATGTTGCAGGACTAGAAAGGTTCAACCCATATCTCACTTTACTGACAGTCTTATCAACTACTATCTTATCTCTTAATTCTAATCTTTTCGGGAAATATTATTTTGAACATTTGTGGCACAGCAACCACAGACCAATCTAGAATCCACACTTTTCTTCTCCATTGTATTCTGGTATTAGAACTGCTAGATAATACAGACCCTCTATGTTGGTAGCAACAAATTTTACATTTAAATAGTTTAAAATGAAAAGTCACTGTAGAGGAATTTATTACTAAAATGCAGATGCCTAAAAGATTAGCTATGATATGCAAATCTTAGGATCCATCAGAGGCTGATCCCCCCCAGCAGACCAGGCTTTTCTCGCCGACGCCTGTGGTAGAGCAGCTGGGGCGCTGCCGGGTTGGTCCCGCAGCGCCGCTCCTCGGCGCTACTGGACCAACCCAGCATGGTTGCTAATATCTACCTAAAATATGGTTACATTTCTGAGATGCTGTATGGTGTAAAGCACCGTAAGAGCTTATCAGGACACAATGTTCTAAGATATATTATTTCCTGACATACTTCTAATCAAAATGAATTTGTTATTAAAGAGTCTAACATTCTCTGAAGCTTATCATTATTACATGTACTATTTCTAGATGTAACATCACAAAGACTTATTCTGGTTTACCTACTTAAAATACTATTATCACATTATGCTCAGAGTGGGAAAATGCTGTAGAGCAGCAAGGGCAGTTGGTGGTGTACAGAGAAGCAGTCTCTATTTTCTTTCTAGTCTCTCATCATCCCTTACTCAAATACATTAGTAAACAGCCCACATAATTGCAGTCCTTACCATATGGAATAAAGAGGAGTCACACAATCACAATCCATTTCTCTCCGTATCAGAGGAAGAATGCATGCTGCACCTCTATTAAGTGGATTATCAGCCACAGTTCCCCATACACATGAAAACTTTGAGAGCCTTAGTTCCTAGAGCTCTCACTAGAATAGGCTTCTTCATTGCCCTCAATACAGAATTGTGACAATGTCACTTCATGATCAATACCTTTCACTTATTACCCTTATGGTTATTTAGATATAGCTAAAAATTAAATTGTAGCATGATGCTCATACTTACCTCTGAGTTTGTGCCACCATCATATGCACTGGTAGCCAATCGGGCCAAGTTGCATAAATGTTGAAACAGATTTAGACCAGTCATACTAATAGTTTCAGGTTTTAGTTGTGGCATCTAAATAAAATAAATTTGTCTTAGTATATATGAAAAGAAAATTGACAAAGATGGCAATGATTTCAGGGCATTTATTCTGTCAAAACACATAAGAATTTCACGGCCATCTCAAAGCAGAACTTAAAGTTATAAGGTCAGTCAAGTTTTGGTTTAGCAAAAGATATGAATCTCTTTGTACTGCACATAGAAAACCACCATTAATGACAATCCTCCCCAATAGATTCCCTTGAATAGGTTCTGGGAATGGTTTAGAATGGACATTTTCATCACTGTAATATTAGTAGTTATATTGTTGCCAGCAACAAGATAATTTGGTATTGTACCTGACTCTTCAAGGCTTAAAACAATTAGGTCACAAGATGAACCTCCCTGGTCTGCATCCTGTGGACCTGACTGATCCCGGATGAGAGATTTTGCAGGATCAGGGGAAGTCATTTCTGGACCCCTGCCACTAGCCCCCCAGTCCGCTCGCTGGCCTCCCAGCCAGCTCCCCACCTCCTGCTGCCCTGCCAACCCCACTGGGCAGCCATTTCTGCCATGACTCCACCATGCAGCTGTGTGTGCCACGCTGGAGCTCCAGGGCAGCCCATGCGCCACGTTGGGGCTCCAGGTGCTGCAGGGCATGTGTTGTGCTGGGGCTCCAGGTCCCACAAGGCAGCTGCGCACTGGGGTTCAGGACCCACTGGGCAGCGGCGCACTGGGCTCCCTTCGCTATAGAACTACTGTGGCTCCTAGCCCCACCGTGCAGCCTCGCATTGGGTCTCCTAACCCCACTGGGTAGCCCCACCACACACTGGGCAGCCCCACCATCAGCTCACTGCAGGCAGCCCACCGCCCTGCCAGTCCCGCATGGATCCGCGTCGCTAGCCCTCCGCTGGGACTCTCTGGTCCTGCAACATCCGTGCCAGACCATGGATGTTGCCAGACCAGAGAATCCTGGTTAAGAGTGTTTCAACCCGTACTTATAGACAACAGTGGAATTGTACACCAAGATATAAGTAAGATACTTTGTTGAATAAGGAGAGTACATGGAAAAAAGATAATACATGGCCTATTGCAAGTTCAATTTCAGTATAATAACTGCCATATAAAACTAATCAATATATATTGTAAGCTTTGTAGAACAATTTGTTAAAATGCAGGATTTGCTGAAGAGCATTCTGATTTGCATTTCCAGTAGAAGTATGGATAAAGACTTTTTTATATCTAACTGAAGGGGAAATTCTACTTTTCAGCTTTGTATTTGTAAATTTCAAATATAACAGCAAGAGAACATAATTTTCTATTATCAGATTGAACTAACTTTGTTCAGGTTAAACATTCAATTCTGGAATAAAAAATCTTTAGTCATCAATTTGATTATCTGAGAAAACATAATTCCTACTTAAACTGAACAGAGAGGGCGTGAAAAGTCTAATGTAAAAGTAGGTAAAATTATGGGGTTAAGAAAAAGTGAAATGACACTCTCACCCTTCTCTCACATCCCACTTAAGTAAAGAAGGATACACAATTCATACTGTACACCAAGAGAGAATGAAAGAAAGTCACTAGCAACAAAAGTTTGCAATGACTGATTACTATGCAATTATTAATCCTGAACCATGTGACAAATCAGTGTAGTCAAGGTTACTGTAAAGGGAGTGGGTTTGTCAAAAAGAAGGATGTGACACAACAGGTATCTTCCCTCAAAGTCGGTGGAGCAATAATGCTCAATTTGCACCAATTACTTGAGTCCTGAACCTTCTGTTGCATCCATACCTCTACTCCACAGAAGGAAAGAGTAACAGATCCATATACTGACAAACCTCCACTTCCCTCAGCTCGGCCTTGCTCTGTCCCAAAACCCGACTCCATAGAGATTCACAAAGAACCAGTGCAAACTAGAAATTTATGGCAGACAGAGCGAATGGAATAGAACCTTTATAAGAGTCCTTTCCACCTCACAATTCAGAGGAATAGTTCTATTATACATGGGGCCTTCCATTGCTGCAGAAGGAGCAGGATTTCCCCATAGAAATAACTTTAAATACATTAAAATCACTTTGATACAGACAAAAACATGTTCAAACTCAAATGAATTAAGTTAAAATAAAAACTGTTTTCATATACCTTTTCTAAGAAAAGATGCTTGTAGGTTTCCATTCCCATAGCATGCTGATCTTTACTTCGTACTTGATTTAAGAACCAGTGTAAAGCATCATCATAGCACTCAGAATCTTCTACTAAACAATGCCATAAAATGTCCACTTGTTCTAAACTCAATCCTAGAAATAAAATGTTTTAAATGCTCCTTTATAATGTCAGATAAATTGGCATAGTCTATCTGAAACAGGAATACAAGTAGAAAAACCTTTATCAGGATAAGTTTTAAAAAATATGTCTACCAACAGAAGAACGCTATCTCCCTTATGTAGCAATCAATTGACAGGCATCTCTTTCTCTAACATTTTTGTGCAGCATGGAACTAAGAAGTTGGCATGGCTTTTTGTCCTTGGTGATGTGAATATCCATACAGACTCACTCACTCCAAATTTCATTCCTATCAAACTGCAGGCACCTTAAACATGGTTACATATATTCTGGACTTCATTTTTGAGTAAGGAATGAAGACAGTGGTTAAGAATTATATCCTGGTCATGCTTTGATTGTGACTCCCTTCACAATGAGATTAATACACAATTTAGCTCTCAAAGCAGTGGACTTCACTGGTTAGCACTCAAACTAATGTTTCCAGTTAGGCTGCAGATTTTTTCAAGGACGAAAAGTAAGGATTATATTTACAATGGCATTGTAGGACATTATATTAATTTTTTGCCTTTAACTAATGATATAATGGCTCCTAAAAATCCCTCTCTTTGTGTCATCCTCCGAGGTCACCTACATTCATAGACAACCTATAACAAATCAACTGTGAGGAGAAAGTATAGAGCAGTGGTCTCCAACCTTTTTACACCCAAGATCACTTTTTAAATGACAGAACAAGCCAAAATCTACTGCCCCATTCTTCCCCCACACATTTCTTGGGTGTGGGAGGAAATGGGGGACCTGGAACGCCTCACGATTGCTGGTTGAGGCCTCACAATCGACCAGTCGATCGCAATTGATGGGTTGGTGACCACAGTTCTAGAGTGTCATTGGTGGAAAATGATCTTGAAGTATGACTAACAACACAACAATGCTAAAGGTAACAGTATTTATCCATAAGACGTCACTCGGATTTAAAACTTTCTCAATCTAAAGAATTTTCTGTCTATTGTACCGATTTGGAAAAATCAAACAGATTGAAGGAGGATCACTGAAGGAGAAGATCTTTGGTGAAGAAGGATCACTGTTACAGTATAGCTATACCAGCCAGTGGCAATAATGGTAATATCTTCTCAAATTTTGGTTAGTTTTGATCAGATTCTAGAGGTACTTGAAAAGCTGCAGCCTACAAATTGTTAGCTGAGACCACATGGCTATATAAGCATGGTTTGACAAAAATTAGTGGCTAAGTACAGGTTGAACCTCTCTAGTCCAGCACACTCAGGTCCTCACCAGTGCTGAAATAGAGAATTTGCCAAATTGCAGGTGGTCAGTATTGTCTAGCAGCATTACCAGAACTTCCACTGTGTACTGGGCTGTTAGAAGACATTTAGAGGTAAATTAGAGCTTAACAATAGCACAGAAGACTAAGAGGTAGGACTGGTGGCTGTAAACAAACTTTATGGGACCACATGAAATTTGGCCACACCCATGATAAATGGACCACAGATGTTGCAGGACTAGAAAGGTTCAACCCATATCTCACTTTACTGACAGTCTTATCAACTACTATCTTATCTCTTAATTCTAATCTTTTCGGGAAATATTATTTTGAACATTTGTGGCACAGCAACCACAGACCAATCTAGAATCCACACTTTTCTTCTCCATTGTATTCTGGTATTAGAACTGCTAGATAATACAGACCCTCTATGTTGGTAGCAACAAATTTTACATTTAAATAGTTTAAAATGAAAAGTCACTGTAGAGGAATTTATTACTAAAATGCAGATGCCTAAAAGATTAGCTATGATATGCAAATCTTAGGATCCATCAGAGGCTGATCCCCCCCAGCAGACCAGGCTTTTCTCGCCGACGCCTGGGGTAGAGCAGCTGGGGCGCTGCCGGGTTGGTCCCGCAGCGCCGCTCCTCGGCGCTACTGGAC